TCCAACATTTACAAACGAAGGCCTGTTGTTCTTAGAATGTTTATTTTATTCGCTATTTTCATTATTATTTATTCTTGGATGTTTTATAAAGTATATAGCTGCTTCTATATCAATTTAACTAACAGCCATACGGCTGTATAACCTAAAGCCTGCAATTCCCTCGAGTGGCGAATGAAAGATCGAATGATTGGCAGTACTAACAGCAAGAAATGTATGTTTTAGGTCTAAGCTGAACTGAACTTTGGAGTGCCCTTATTAAATTTCTCGGACTTCAAGTTGTCAGCCAGAAATAACTTTTTGTACTTTAATCAGCATCATCATAGTACGCTAATCCGAGCCATGATAAACTGAGACTGGTAAAAAGGGCAGAAATGCAGTAACTCTATCATAATAGGTTTAAAGTGACGAAAGTTTTGATAATGTTTAGGTTTATAGAAATTTGAAACTTGGGAAACATAATAATTTATTATAAAACAGGACGTAGGTAGAAATCTATAAAGGTGGGTGCTACTTTTGGAGAAAAAGGGAATGAGTGGCAAAGCCATACTGAAGGGTTCAGGGACATGCCCCTAGCAACAATTTTGTAATATACACCGAAAATGGTGCATTTTGATGGTATCTGAGATTTTTTTGTACATCATTTACATATATTATATATATATATATGGGTGCACTTTAGGGGGTGCGATCACACCCACCGCAAACACTTGCTTATGCGTATAGAAAGTGTAAATTTTGAAAAACAGGACGGAACACTCTGTCGAGCATATTTGAATCAGCTGTGTAAAATCCAGTAGACATGTACGTGTATGCAAGTGTTTCTTTTATCAACCCAAAATAATTTCTTTAATGACTTTTAACATACATTTAGACTAACGCATGACAATATTTTTCTTTTTACTTTACATACTTACTGATTTTTAAGTGATCTCTAAAATAATGCATGCTTAGTTAACACAGCTGCCAATAGAGTGCTTGTTCAAGCAGTCGCAATTTATCATAACATTTTTTCTTTTATACTACAGAGACGGCTCTTATTCTGCGCAACTAATCTCTCTCTCTGTACAGAAAGCAATACTGTATGATGCAGGCAAGCTTACTGGTTGCTTGAAAAAATTTAAGTTCTCAAATACAAGGTTAAACTAGTTTTTCATATCTTGATTTTTGTAAGTGTATCTTAACCAAAAATGACGGATAATTTTACGCATGCATCTGTATACATAAACAGTCAAGTATATATATATATATATATATTTAAATCAGATTAGATCCTCAAGGTTAAATTCTGATATCTTTAAATCGTGGGAAAAAGAACAGTCGGCTTATAGACAGGTGTTTTGTTTTTGTTTTCATGCCTCACGGAGCTGGAATTATTACAAGGCTTCTTTAAATATACAGAGAGACTTAATACTAAAAATGTTAACACTGTCATAAAAGGACATGTTTAAAGCAATGAAAACTTTTATTAGGATTTAGAAAAAAACAGGTCGCTTGGTAAACGATAAAGACAACAACGCTTTATGAGAGTTTAGCGCAAAAAATACGAAACAGTGGCAACAGCTGAGTTAATTTGAAATATATGAAACACTTTTCAAGTATACACATCTAAACAGATAGTTTTAACGAAAAACGATCAAAGTAAAATTTTTTTCTTACGTGAAGGTACAATCGTTTAATACATCCCTACCCAGAATTCCTCTGTAGATGCATTTAGTCACCTGGCGAGAGGTAACTAACTTCAATTGATCACTCTTTTCCTACTGGGGGTTCCATCTGCCGATCCCCCCTCCCCTAAGCGAGTAAACCTCACAAAGACGGTTATGAAAGATTTGCTTATTCTTTTTCATGAATGAGTAACATTTGTGGCAAACTATTAAGCAAAATATAGTAAAGGCCCTTATTGACTGAGGAGAGGCTTATTTGCCATAGTATTGACATTTATAGATATATTTCTATATATCTGTGTGTGTATTTTATTCATAAGTTGTGAGGATATGAAATGTTAAACTTACTAAAAAATGATTGCATCATGGGGAACCACTTATAGTCTTAGAGTTCAAAACTGGAGCATTCCTTATTGCAGTATTAATCAAAATATTTAATTTTATACAGATTACTACGCATGTGTAAAAAAAAAAAAAAAACATAAAAGGGAGTCGATATTAGTCACTGCTCTGATTCATGTAGTTTATGATACCCACTTGTGAATGTATGAATAAAGTAGGTTTTGTCAGAAATCTTATTTCACCTACATAAATACCGATTATTATATAAAACTTCATGTGAAGTATTTCAACAGCCACAACATATATATATATATACTGGCTGGACTTCCTGTCCGTTGGATGTGTGAAATAAAAACTAGTTTGTAACAAAAGATAGGAAATTGTGCTTCTTATTTTGTTTCTTAACATAGTAAACATTAAAGGTGCAATAAAAATATATAAAGGTACCAATACTGAAAACAAAGACATACCGTTTTCAAAAATTCTAACAACAGTGGTTACATAGTTCATTCTAATGTTGAGGGATATACAACACTGGTGGTTTTCTGAAATAGATGGGGAGAGTTAACCCCCCCCCCACATGACCTTCTTCATATCATCTTATATCACTGTGCCAAGTATACACACACACACATTGACGTTTACTTATATAGATATATGAGTGTGTGAAAACGTGTATGGATATCGTAATAATGCATTAGTACAACGTATTTTACATAGTCAGAGAAAACATTTAACATTGAATCGATTGCTTATTATCAGTTCTATAAATGGCAGCACCATTCCTAATTATGAAATTTTATTATAGGCTTAAAGTCCACAGTGCATCTGTAATAATCACCCCCAGCTAATGGTTAACGCTTACCTACGAGTCTTTGTACGAGAATACAGAAACCATATATATATTGACGTGCAAGAAGCTGAGATAATGAGTCTTCAAAGGATCAAACTTATTTTTTCAAGTTAGGCGGCAAGCTGTTCCATCCATTCTCCAGAACAATATTTTTAAGGATTTTTTTAAAGGAAAAGAAATGCTGTCCACTTCTTTGTTTACTGATCATTGGCGCCAAAGAGCCTATCGTATTATCAGTCATAGCGTTTCATTACTTCACGTGCTTGTTATCCTGTAAAAGGTAATTTTAATTGTTACTGTTTAAGCTGTTACAGGAGTTAGGGTACGTTATGTGGTTTTTCATGTGTTTATTCAAATTAAAATGTTTCTTGTGTGGAGCGTGACATTTTGCTAACGTTTAGCTGTTTATTTTATGAGTTGCAATTTTTCTTATATACTTTTATTTGTCATTGTATAACTTGGCGGGGTAATTTTTACAATTATGGAATTGTTGAATGTGAAATCTTGTGTACTGAATTATAATGTTGAGCCTGTTCATTGTCAATTGAGTTTGGTGAAATTTGACTCCTTTGTTATCTAGTTAGCCGACTTCTGCTATTTTTACGTATTAGTATAATTCCATGTATGATCCATCCTGTCGAAAGTTACCCTACTTGTTCATCTGTTTAACGCCATGGTCCTAAAAACGTAAGGATTAACGTGTATTGTATAGGTACATGTCTATATACTAAAACAAAACCAACTTTCTCAGCTGGTCTGACCTTTTATTGTACCGTTGAACCAGTTCATAATATCGAATATAGTACAACGAAATTTGACACGAACACCCAAGTCACTTAAATTTACTGTCGGTTTGATAAGAAACAGTTATACAAACTTCCTTTAAACTTTTTTAATCCAGTATTGCATTGACTATGCATCAACATTATGTTTAACTAGAGCTCATTACAATGTGAAATTATCAATAACACGTTTCTCCGAATTCCAAATATATTTCAGAAACCAATCGCTGGTATTTTGAATTACTTATAATATGGTCTTCTCTTAATGAATAATCAGTACAAAATTGCTCAAGTTGTACACACTTGCGAACAGGCCTCTCAATGCTCCGAAGATGAAAGGAATAATAATACAGTTAAGTTGAGAGCTCTAATAAATTGTTTATACTTATATTCTTGTATGAGCAACGTTTTTGGTCTTTTACTTAGAACCTTGTAAAGGAAGTTTCAGTATAATACTACTAGTTACCTTGGGTTTTGTAGTAAGTAACGTTTCTGGCTCTATACCGAGTCCTTTACCCAAAAACTACTAAAGGAAGTTTCGGTATAGAATTATTACTTGCGGTGACTTTTGTGGAGAGTAACGTTCCTGGCTCTATACCGAGTCCTTTTCCCAAAACCTACTAAAGGAAGTTTCAGTATAAAACTATTACTTGCCTTGGATTTTATAGTGAGTAACGTTTCTGATTATATATTGCGTTCTTTACTGAAAACCTACTAAATGAAGTTTCACTATAGAACTTGAAACGTGCTTGGTTTGAGTACGATAATATTTGTCAGAGAAAATGATATAGCGGAAAGGTAAAATGTGCATTTTATAAAATATTACACTAAATGAGTAATCTTCAGCACATTTAATTAAAAGTAGCATATACTTAATTTGAATCAGAATAGAGAATATTTTCAATAGAAATAATGAGATAAGAATGTAGAACGTTAATGAACAATTCTGCATATCTTGTTCTTTAAGTTGGTCTTATGCACAGGACTCTTTCACAGCTCTATCAATGAGAGAAATGTTGGTTAATAAGCGCTACCAGTTTGGTCTTTGTTCAATACATCATAAAATCATGGATAGTTTCTGTTATTAGAAAAGCTACCATTTTTTTTTGTAACCAAAACATAAACAGACGTAACTTCGTAAATGGAAAAAAGTTTCTTTATAGCAGGAATTAGTACAGAAAATATTAATATAATTAAATTATACATACTCTACAACTTGAAAAGGGTAATTTAACGTGATTAGTTTATGATTTGTATATACAGTAATTACTCAAGTTCAATGACTGCATCATTGTTTATTGTTCTATGTTAGCAATTCAAACAAGTCTCAATTATTTAAGAAAAGTGTCGGACACTCACTTTCTTGGAATCCAGATGGCAGATACGCTGTGTGGACTCTGGATAAGGAGAAATATTTGTTCCATCCACTTGGTCAAGTGACGTGGCCTCATACCCCGACTCCACCGGTTCATACATCCCTGGTATCAGGCGAACACGGTTTCCTGGAACTATACCCTGTCGTCCTCGAAGGGCACATAACCACCATCCTTCCAAACCTCGAGTGTTCTGTTCAAGTACAGTAAGTATGTCACCTTTTCGAAAGGCCAGTTCATCTGGAGACTCGGCATTATTGTCAAACAAAGCTTTGGCTAAACACTTCTGAAGGAAAACGAAAACAAAGTAGTAACTTGCGATCAGAGTAAATTATGTAATTAGAGCGAAACTAAAAATAAAATTGACCATTTGTATAGCTAACTAAATATACTTTTCTTACGTTTCTATCTATAAAGATTAGAAAGCACTGTTTAACCAGTTGGGTACCCTCGTTGTTGACAATACTATCGGCCCTATTCCAAATGATATCTCACGAGATTTGACATTAGTCCTAAATACAAGTTCTAAGCTAACAATGCAAAATATCTTTATCGTAAAAATAATCCTGCAACAACTGCTGTAATCTCTCTTCTTGTTTATTTTCTCGTTCTTCTTGTTTCTTTTCTTTTTCCTTCAACAACTTCTGTAATTTCTTTTCTCGTTCTTCTTGTTTCTTTTGCTGTTCTTGTATTGCTGCCATCAAATCTGCTAACCTGTAGTTTGATTTGCCGCTTCTCGTTTCCATCTTCTTTTTTATCCCACTCTCTGACACCAATTTGTTACGTCTCCGTTCGTTCGTTAATTAATTTTCCGTAAATCCGTTCCAACGAAACTTTAGCGACACAAGTCCTTTCTTAAATAAACTGGTTTATTCTTTCCGAATACAACTTTACCGATACACTTAATTTCAACAGTCGCTCTATAATCAAACGCTATAACTCACATCTCACGTGGCCAACAATATTTTGTCGCATACATTCAATTACTTATTACCTCCCCGTCGCTTCGTGGCCGGTCTTATATATACAAGACTACACTATATCTAGAAGGATCACGAGATTTAAGGAAAAGACGTGAATGTTCGAGAATGACGTGGCGTGATACTAGACACGTGACCTCGATGTCGTAACAATATGTTACATCAATCTCATATTTTCCTTTTGTTGAACATACATTTACTTGTACGTTGTACTCTAGGACTTGTATTTGATCTACAGATGAATGATGGAATAGTGTAATTTACTTCCGTACGTCAATTCGGTCTCACTATATTTCAGTGGGCGACTTTTAAACGTTAAAACTGCAAGCGTAGTACACACAAATAACGTAACACTGTGTCGTATTTACTTAATGTAGGGCAGTTGCGCTATATCCTATGGGAGAGCATAATTATTAGTTAATAGGCATTATAGGCCAGAAGAAATTTTGAACCCCTTCACACCTACACCCGGGGGTGACTGCCTCCTCTTGCTACGCCACTGCATTATTGAAAGAAAAGAAACAAGAGAGAGACAACAGGAGTTGCAAGAAAACCTGCAACAGTGGCAGCTCGAACAACAAAATCAACAAGAAGAGAAATTACAGCAGTTGTTGGAGGAGAAAGAAAAGAAACAAGAAGAGAAGTTACAGGAGTTGTTAGAAGAGAAAGAAAATAAACAAGAAGAAAAGTTACAGCAGTTGTTGGAGGAAAAAGAAAAGAAACAAGAAGAGAGACTACAACAGTGGCAAGAAGTACAAATGGAAAACATTAGTAAATTTAAAAGCGAATTAGATACGTTAAAGGACGATTTTTGTCTTTTACACAAGGAGGATACATTGACCATCGACTTAATCAGCCCCAGACAATGGCAAGCCCCTTCCAGACCCCACAGCTAAACCCTAATGCAGACATATTCAGTCCCGTTAGAAGTCACATCCCAGATATGAATGTCAGTAATAAGAGTGATCCAGTGCGAAGAAGCCACAGGAATTCGATGGGAAACCACCGTGGGAAACATATAGAGCACAGTTTGAGCTACTGGCAGAAATGAATGGATGGACAGAAGAGCAGAAAGCAGTATATCTGGCAACGAGCTTGAAGGGACAGCCACTGGAAATACTTGGACAGTTGTCAGCAGACGACAGGTACAACTATAGAGCACTGGTGTCGGCTCTAGAATTCAGGTACGGAACCCAAAATCAGATAGAAGTGTACAGGGCTAGGTTTAAGACGAGAGTCCGTGCTAAAG